ATAAGGACAACCTTTCATATGGATAAAGGCAACCTTTCGGATGGATAAAGGCAACCTTTCATGAAACAATGCATGGATTCGGCCCCTATAAATATGTGTGTGGGGTGCATGATGCCACACACAATCAAACATATTCTTCTTCTTTCTTCCAAAAATTTCTAAGTATGCTTTAGTGTTCTTGCTCCTGGAAACTAAAGTGGTGATAGTTTTATCCTCGGGAGAAATTTCCTGTAACCCAAGGCTTTGTAGAGGGTGGAAATATTCTTTTCGGAAAGTGAACGTTGTCCACGACTCTGTCACAATCCTGGTCACCCGGTCTCGGGCTATCGTACATATACCCTCGTCCCTAAAAGTCCCAACAGCCGCCGGGACGATCGTTCGTTTGCCGTGTGGTTAGAAGTGGCGGATCTCGCAAAGCTTACTCGAGTAGTGGTGGGCGACCTTCCGTAATAGGAATTAGCGGTTTGCGGTTTTGAACCGCAATCGCGCGGTTTGGTCAATCCGAACCACGAACCGTTAACCGCTTAACGGTTAGACCGCAAATGAAACTGCTAATTTAACGGTGCGGTTTGAATGGACCGCACAAGCGGTGTGGAGAGGTTTGGAGCGATTTGATCAAACCAATGCCCACCCCTACTACCCATTATCAATGAGTCTACTTCGGTTTGGGTATAATTAACCATAGGTGGGTAATTGCCATGCCTAGTGAGGACTTGAACACATGAACTCAAGTACAAACCAACTGTGATACAATGTTATAAACCAACTGGTCTCAATAACTCTAGTTATTGAGAGAGGTCCATGTATGGTAGTTAACCACTTCATTATAGGCCACGAAGCTTAGTTTTCTCTTTCCATTCTCAACTCCCCAAACAAAGGATCAGATCCTCTTATCGAAACCATCACAAACAAACACGATGATGGGACCATATGTGTTGGGTTAGTCGTAGGGTTACGTTGCATGCGGTGGGGTTTTAGTGGGTCTAGCATATTAGTAGTTAGTATGGGTTGCATATGAAGTTGGGTTATGTGTTTTGGGTTATAAGTGTATGCGCCTAGTAGTTAATGGCCGATTAGGAGTCTTGTTCTAGGTGTAGCCGAGTTGGCTAGAGTAGTAGTAGGGTTCGGGGTTAGCTAGGGTTATGTATTAGGTTTAGTCGCCTATATATTGTAACAACGACATTCGTCTGATTAAGCAATCAATCAATAAACAACAAAGGTTTTCGACACCAACATTGTCTCCCGCTTGTTTACAAGCAAAACCCTTGAATCGTGAGTAACAATTCATCACACGGTTAGGATAGTTGTTTGCCTAATATATGAGGTATAGAGTTTAAGACAACGATAGCAAACATTACCCTCCCAAATAAAGGGAGTTCCTATTAGTAAACAGTATATGATGCACGATTGAACCTCTCCCAACAACTCGAGTTATTGGGATCAACTGCATCTTGACAGTTCCTTCACCTTTCAGTCAGACAGTCATTGGTCAATCTGGTCCAAAACATACTTTTACATTAACTTTGTTATCCGTCCATGAAACACTAGAACTCTCAAGTATTGACCGAGATCTTGCATCATTGAAATGCCCAAGATGTTGCTCACTTTCTGGCTCCTCTGTCATTCTGTATTCATAAAAAAAAAAGACTCAAGATTTCTCTTGGGTCACCAACCGACCGCAGGCCTTGCAGAACCTGTATAGGTTGTCTAAGACCACTCATGCTTGTGTTACTCGCCTCTGCAAAAAAAATATAAAAAGATAATCATTAATAAAAAAAATATGCGAGGTAGTGGTATACCTCCGTGGAGCTAAGAGTTTGGCTCCTAGAAATCACAACTCACTACTTCCTCAATAGTCTAACTCAATCACTCCACGCAAAGAGAGAATAGAGAGAGGGACAAGGGCATTATTGCGAATGCCCCTCAAAGGCGTGAATGACTCTGTAGGGAGCTTACATCCACAAACCCAGTAAATAATCTTGTGGCTTGCAACATATTTGGAGCATCATTTGCACCACCCGACTTGTATTCCTACCTAAGATGTGGATTGCTTATTGGAATATAAGTTATCAGTAGTATGGCGGTTTGGGACGAAGCTAGTCTAGGTTGGCTTGACTAAGTTGGAATGAGATGCTTCAGCCAGATTGCGAGACACTTTGACACTAATGGGGGACAATGATATTTATAGTTTTCGTTTTGGGGCAAGGGTAAAGTTCAACAACCAAGTTTAAGGGACAGCTACATAGTTGTATCACTGTACGGATGTCGCCCGCTAGTTACTAGCTATTGCAGGTATGTTTGGTTTTAAAATAACGGAGTGAGTTAGGCTTTTTTTATGTTTTATTTTATTTGAGGATTTCTCTTTTAATAATGCAAAGTAGACTTTTCAGCTTAAACTTTACTTTAGTGTTTTATAAGATTAAGATTTAATTTTGGGATAATTGATATTATTCAATTTCCCGTAGTTTTATGAATAAATTGAAGGTATCATCAAATTAAGTACTTTTCATTATGAATTTTTTTCTCGTTGAATCAGTTGCCTTTTACTATTAAGTAAAAACGAATTGCAATTCGCAATTCGCAAAACCAATACAACGAAAGGGCTGCCATTGTGGCCACCCTGAAGAAAAATCAAAAGAGATAGATCCACATCTAACCACTCTCTCTACTGACATCAACTACAAATGGCTACAAAATTTTCAACATTTGTAAGTCATCTCTCATTAAGTCTTGCAGCACTCTAAAATCCCGTTCTGGCTCCTGATGGACTCGACGACAACGCTCCTGCCAAACGTATGTAAGCAACATACACCACTTTACGCCAAAGAAACTTCCCTGGCCACGCACAACAGCTTGGCAAGCAGATCCCAACGATTCCACCCATGTAGATCGACATACCTGCTCAACTTGAAGGAACCCTGCCACTGTTTGTTTGACAAACTCACAGGTAAAGAACAGATGATCACGCGTTTCACTAGCGTTATGACAGAGTAAACAGCAGCAACCTTCATTAATCTTCCCCCATCTCATAAGCTTGCTCTTTGTAGTAATCGCATCCATAATGATAAGCCAGGCAATAAAACTGAACCTGGGAACACTAAATTGCCCCCATACCAATTTTAACCAATCAACCTTGTTGTATTGAGGATGCAGCGTGTTCCAAATGAGCTTCACCGAATACCTGTGCATTGGTTGCCCGTTCCACACAGCACAATCTTCTTGCCTGCAAAGGAGAGTTTGTACTAGGGATCTTTTCTTTAGTATCCGCCTCCAGGCCCAAGAGCTATTCACATTTTCTTACGTAGTCCAGACGTTACAGTTTTACAATGGTATTTAAGCATCCAGACCACCCAGAGAGCTCCTGACTGCATCACTAGAAGCCAAAGCATACAAAGCGAGCAAGCAGAATTCCAAGAGCTAAGTTCACGTATACCAAGCCCCCCTTCAGTTTTAGGACGAGCCAAACGGTCCCAAGCAACCTTAGCCCTGCCAGTATCATTACTATGCCAAAGGAAATCCATACAAAGCTTTTGGACAAGCTTGAGAACTTTCTTTGGTAAAACAAATACTTGCAGCCAATACTGAACAAGACATGTAATAACAGAGGAAATCAACTGTAGCCTCCCCGCATAAGATAACTTTTTTGCACGCCATGACCTAATTCTCTTTTTTATTGCCACTGTTAAGACTTCACACTCTTTATCAGTAAGCTTACCTGAGATAAGAGGTAAGCCTAGATATCTCATAGGAAGAGAGCCCTCTGCATATCCAGAAAGATCAATAGCACTTGCTAGGGTTACATTTTAACCCATATTGCCAATAAAACTGGTCCAAACCCTGCTTTACAACCATGGTTGCCCACATTTCCCTAGAAATTTTGCACTGCTCGACCTTGTCAATTTCGTCAGGTGACATGGCGGTTTGGAGGATGTGCATCGCTCTGCAATTTAGCTGCGCATTCTTCTTTTGCTCATCCGTCCAGTTATTTTGTCGATCCACATCCATCTCCTCGGACCATCACGAACGATTCCCCACAGCTCCACGTCAATTCCCCACATTAAGGTCTTCATACGCTTTTTCCAGGCGTTGTAATTTGACCCACTGAACCATGGAGGATTGTTGTGAGATGCAGGACCGAAAGTAGAATGCGGATTTGTCGCCATAGATCGAGTTACCCTTGGTAGTGATGAACCTCCTCAAGGGCAGGCTCTGATACCAATTGTAAAAATGATTAAAATGGATTTCTAGGGATTTAGTCAAGGGAAATGCAACAGAGTAGAGGCTCGATGGAATTTTGGAAAGAAGGTTGTCAAGTCGATGAGAGCTTTCTGCCTTGCTACTTTCAATGGGCTTTAGCACTCAGAAAGCCCACTATTCTTATTTCCACAAAACTAAGAACTTGGGCCAAGGCTATAGATGAAGGTAAAGCCCACGGATTCAACAATCAGCCTACAGCTCTTGTTCTTTCTTCTACTGGGGCAGTGAAGAACAGAAAACATAGCAAATGCAGAGCATATGAACTTGAACACAGAAACGAAACTTGCAAGGAAGAAAAACAAAGACACGATGTTTTTTAATGTGGTTCGCCCAAGTGCAATGGTTTACGTCCACATCCCAGAGATCAGCATCAACTATCTCTAGGAGAGTTTTATTTGATAATGAAGACAAGAAAAGATAGAAGGTTCAACTGTGATTCAAAACCCAAAATCACCCACACCTGTTACAACCTTGTCTGATAGAACCTGTACCCCTGAATAAGACAAGCCCTTTGATCCCAAAGTCATGTACCACTTTTTCTGTCTAGTCTGATCAAAGTACAGAGAATAAGAAATCCAAGCCCTTTAAATAGACAGACTTGGTAGCCGTTGGAAACCTTCCTTTGATGTCGAAAGCTGGCGCCACAAACCCTTTGATAGAGAAGACTTTCCAAAACAGCCCAGCAGATTACCAATTTCTTCCAACATAGCTAACTAAAATGATATTTGATCACCTCTTTGACCTGTTCCCTTCTCAGATTATTCGTATTTTGTCTTGCAATCCCCAAGTTGTTCTAGTATGATGATCAAGAGCCTTTCATAATTTTCTCTTGGTTATTGAAAATTCACCGTACAAAAAAAAGTCATTGTTGAACAGCTGTATGAATAACATGAGTAGAAAACACAAAAGAAGCAAGGTAGAAACATGCTGCTAGTTTATTAAAGTAAATCTTTATGAAGTAAAATAGGCAACTAAGCCTGACAAAAGTAATTAAAAAAATAGGATACTTATGGTCAACAAATCAAGCACATAAAATAAAGGAAGTGTAAAATTAGCAGGTGAATGGATTAGATACATATTTGTTGAAGTACACGCAGAGAAACAAAGAAAGCTGGGGGTGTGGATTAAAGGAAGAATTGGAAACTAATAAAACTGAAAAAGTAGAAGCAAAATCAAACTCAATAAAAGAATTCAGGTGAGAGAGGAAAAGCATATCCAAGCAAAACAGGTACGTGATGTTCATCAATTAGCTAACCCCTTAAGAATCTCTAAGCAAAACAGGTATGCCATTTAATTTAAAGATCAAAATAAAGTGACATTAGAGGAACTCTCCCAAAAGCCCAGGCAAACCTCTATCCTGAAGACACAACATACCAATTAAGCATATTACAGAACATCTGGACAGAATAGAAGAAGAAATAGAAATGTAAGATACCGATTTAAAATCATTTTGGAGTCTTTGTGGACAAAAATTGGAGGAAATATGGATAGAAAACCAGCAACAGAAGCACATGTCATGGACTATAAACCATCAACGAAGTTAGCGACAAAGTCACAAACTACAGAGAAGAAGAATAAGAAGCGGAATCACCTTCTAACTGCAGGAAGCATTGCCTCCCGCTTGATCCACCCTAGTTCGTCACATACAAAAGCAAAACAAACCAAATAAATAAAGAAGCAGAGAGATGGTGGCAATTCACACTGTAAAATAGATCAATCTATGTATCCTCATTCCTGTTAAGGTTAACGAATGCTTTTAAATTTCTAATTACCGTTGACAACCAAACATAAATAGTAAGACTTTTGAAGAGATAAATCAATCAATGGCAGGATTTGGTCTTTAAGAAGTGGATGGAGTTGAGAGTTCACCTAAAACTGTTCAAGGTATGCGTATATTCCCCCTTGAAATATAGAATAATCTTCTTGTTTCATTCTTAAGGAATTTTGTGTTACCTGCACTCTCAATTTGAAGAGACACCTTAATCCTTCCCATAAGACGAAGAACAAAGATTTGGAGTTATTACCTTATGACTGACTATTCATGTTTCAAAGAGTCAATTCAAGCCCGATAAGGTTTTTTGTACGTTGATTCTACCCCTCATTTTGAGGCCTTGAGTTCCCATCTGCACTCTAGTTTGACATGTCGATGGTCACGCACGCAACACCTTAGCATTACCTAGGAGGATCACCCGATTGGCAGGAGATGGTCACCTCGTCCAATAATCATTTTTCTTAATCATTCACCTACTCAATCATGCCAAACAAGTCAATTCCATACCATCTCATTTAGACCCTAGACAAACATAGATAAAAACATATAATCATTAGATAAACAAGTTTCTTACACAAGCCTTAACAAAATACCTTCTACCTTCTAAAACCTAAATCTACGGTTTGGAGATTAAACCCCTAGTGCCTTAGGGTACTACTCCATAAAGGGGGGAATAAGACACATAAGAAGAATTAGAAGAAACCTTGAGTTAGGAGAGCTCCCTTGCTTCTTGGGTACTCCTACCTTCATCTTTCTCTCTAACTTCTGTCTTGAAACAAGGATTTCTCCAAGTGATTTCAGCTCATTAATGAAGGGGCAAGGACCCCCTATTGATAGAGTTATGTCCGTTGGGCAAGTTCACGGCTGGATAGGAGAAGATCAGGGGAGTGAAATTTGGAGGAGAGGTCGCGAACTCAGTTTTTCCTTTTACGTCTTGCTGAATGGGAAGTTTGTGGCCTGGCTTCATGGTCACAATCCAAAATGTCACGGCCATGATTTTTATCGCGGGCATGGAAAATGAGAGCCGTGAGTTGAATTTCAAAACTCTCTGGTCCTCCCTAGTTGGCTGCATCTTCAAGTTCACGTCCAAAGCTCCAATCTCTGCGGCCGCAATCTCGATGCGCATCTTTGTGCCATAGCTTCCTGGCCGTGTTCTCCTTGCTCTAGCCGTGATCTCTTATATTTGCACATAGTCCTACACTTGTGACCCCCCTTTTTTTTACCTAACACATTTGTATCATCTAAAGCACCCTTATATGACAATATTCTCTTCGAGGAACGAATTAAGGATGTATTTGATGACATATTGACTAAAACCTAACTACAATCCCCAATCGATGGTCAAGTATAACCAACGACCGGGCGCAAAATAGGGCAAGTATTTAATTATCAATCGAGGCGGTCTATATACCACTGCTTCAACCGTTTATATATTATCTAGCAAATGCTTTGTGGTGAAATTTAAGAAACTACCGTTTAAAGCAAACAAGCAAAGTAAAGTTGTGGTGGATTCTATTTGAGAAAACTTCACATGGATATTGTTCCCCTAGTCTCGTGTCAAGGTCTATATACTACCTAGTCTTATTCACATGGAAACCAAGTAAAATGAATCTTAGTTTGAATATGAGGTAGAAAACCTTACGTAAATTTCGTTATTATTAGGGCTTTAGACTATGGGGAATTAGTATAAATTGAGGGCTTGTGTCTCATTGCAGAGGCATACGAAAATCTCAAGGGTTAAAGGTCTCTTTATTTTATGGTGAAATGCGACCTATTATGTGATCTTAAATTATATGTCGTTTAGCCACACACATGATAAGTGGAGCAGCCATGTGGGCAAATTCCTTCTTGATGTCGAGCTAACGAACTCCTCGTGGTTTATAGGGTGGAACCCATGTATATCCTTAATTACTTGATAAATTATGCTTATTCCAAGTGAAACTTGACACACACGGTAACACTTATGATGATCAGCTTTTCTACTTTTGACTAATTTTCATGCGAATGTTCATTAAGTCTCTGTTGGGGATCTTATGCCAAAATTTGTTTATCGAGATACTCAAATTTAGTATCTTATACAATTTATTAGTCAAATCTTTCAAACTTTTAAAATTATCAGCCAAACCTTTCAAAATACAAAGCATTAGTCAAACGTTAACTCCAACTTAGCATTTTTGTTAGTAATATTGACTCAACAACATGATGATGAGTTGGAGGAGACACGTGATGCTCAATATTCCTGAATTTTAGTATTTTAATTAAGAGAAGAGTTACAAAATTATTAAAAATCTACAGTCAAATGGTTAATATTTTGATGAAATACAAAATATTTGACTAACTTTTGTATTTGGAAAGGTTTGACTAATAATTTGAAAATTTCTAAAGTTTTGGGTATAAAATTTTATTTACTCAATATGTACCAATTGCTAATTCTATAATTTTGGACTAACCATCAACCCATGGTTGTTGACTACATGTTAGCTTAGAATTAGGCGATCTAAATGCAATAATACACACGCGTGTCATTCAACTATGAAAATTGTCAACCCATGTTTAATTAATTCTAGGTCATTGGTTGATGAAACATAGTGTTTATCGTACATCGTCAACAAAGATTTCTCTAACATTCACACATGTCATATAATACGTGTACATCGTCAAGTTTCTACCCGGACCTTTTCTTATATAATAATTATTTTATTTTATAGATATATACATTAGAAATAAGAGAGTGTTTAATAGCCAAAAATATAAAAATAACATAGTTCGTTTTTGAAATTAGATTGATTGTCTAACAATTGTTTTCTCTCCTTCAATCATTATATTTTGTTTAATCAATAAAAATATTATTATTTATCTGTTTATATAAAATATAACTTATTATTAAGTTTTAGTAAAAATGAGTAGAAAATTTGCTTGATAAAGTTTAATAAGATATTTTTGTTTAAACAAACGCTATATATATCACCCTACAAATATTAGTCTATTGCTACAAACTTAGATATAATAAAAAAAAATGAATTATTGAATAAAATAAAAAAATCAACTAAAGAAGAGAGAGATAACTCTATAAATAGATCATTAACTAAATTTTTTTGTTTGTAAAAAAATTGTCCACCTTAGCAACTTATAAATTCTCAAAGTGCTTATATGGCAAGAAGTTGCTTTTGAACTACCATAATATATAATAAGATAAGATATTGAATTTGCGTGGTGCATTAGCTTTAAATCCCCAAATATTTTAAAGAACCTTCCAAATGATTTCTATCGTGTCCTCAACATGATCATCTTTTCCTGGTATGTTTACCTGTTAGTTATCACCAGACATATTGAACATATTTTTTTTTTTTTTTTGTATATATCTGCTAACATTTTAACTCTGGATGTTAGTGGATTGAGCATATTTTCTTCATCTGATACTTATAGTCGCATACTACTATTATAAATAATACACATTATAAATAATACACATAAAGGTTAGACATTCTGGGGTCATATAGCCCCTAAGTCTCCTTCGCTTCACTTACTTCTGTTCAAAAATTTATGTCTTGATCACTTTTTAGGTACCACAAAAAATAGCAAATAAATAGAATTGAAGAGAAACGAATGAGCATAAGATATGGTTTTGGAAATGTAGAGTTTACTAAAATTCTAAACCATTTAGTCACACAGTTTAATCGGAGTTTTTGTTGGGAATGAATACCTTTGAAAGCTATATTGAATTAATTATCCAGTATTCTTTCTAAATACGAATATAAGATGGATAATTAATAAAAGGAATATTATGAAGATAATTAGGATAATTATCTTAATATAATGCATTTTAATTATGGAAGTAATTATCTTCCTAATTAAAATATGACTTATTCCCAAAGAAATAGAGAATATTCTAGGTTTTCTGCTTTTATAAATAGCAGACCCCTAGACCCTCTAAAGACACCTCAGAGAGTAGAAACACGAGAGAGAGTGAGATTCAGAGAGCTCCGGTTTTCGCACAAAACCGCCGAGCAAATTTAATGAGTGGCTGTTTTATCCTGGAGGCGACCGGCTGATAGTCGGTTGTGCACAATACGAGGCAGTGCCACGAATGTTTTAAAGAGAGTGACCTAGTCCGCAACTCAGCCAGATCGATAACCCTAGATTTTTCTGTTCGATTTTTAACAATTTTAAAACGTTTGATTACTGTTATAGCTACCGAACAGACTACCAAAATGGCTGAAGTGAGACTGTCGATCCATAAGCACACCTGGCCAATTCGATGGGCACTGAGATCGATGAATAAAGATCATGGCCTTTAGCTTGCATCAGGAGCTTAACGTGGAGGCCTTTATTCTTGCCTAGCATCATGACGTGAAAGCAGTGTTAGAGTTAGTCAATAGAGTTGTAATACGACATTGATGGGAGAAGTAAATTATAAAGATGGAGTCTTTTGGAAATTTAATTAATTAATTGTAAATTAATTAATTAACATTTGAATATTGTAAAAAGAAGTGTCCTTCCAGAAAGGTAACTCCCTTTTTTCTGTGAAAGGATATGTCCTTCCATAAATGTAACTACCTTTTCTGTGAAGGGATGTGACTCTTCGGAAGGTAACTTCCAGTATTCACAACTATAAATAGATGACTGCCATAACTCTTTTAATGAGAATGAGAGAATTCTTCTACTTCACGTTTTCCTTCTCTATTTCATAAACACAGATGTCTCCAAGATTGTTGCTTTCAGACTTAGAATTGAAGGGACTCCTGGGGGTGGTTTGCTCAAGCCTACCAGCAATTTGTAGTGGGGGCAAATAACATTCTAAGGAGAGTGATCTTATCACGCCTTCAATCTATTCTTTCCTACCATTTCCTGACAATCTTAGAGTTATTTGAAAAAATGAATTTTGGAGTAGAGAGTACATTGAAGGTGTATGCTTGTGATTCCAGCAATTGGTTGCCGAAAGGAGAAATGGTATTCGTTGTCTTTGATATCGGTAACATCCTCTCCATTTTAATTCTTGGTGTTGAGAATATGATGATATATATTATGCTTGTTGTTCGTGTGTCACTAGAAAGGAAGTGGTTCTCCCTGTAGGAACAGAGTTCCTATACATGCTAGTGGCAGGGGTCCAATTGTATTTCTACGGCACCATCCGATTATTTTCATTGGTTACTAATGTCGGTGCTGTTTCTGGTTCTGGAAACTTGTTGGTTGTTATTTTCTTTACTTGCATGGATTAACAATCATGCACTTAACCAACGTATGTCATTTATATAATTTTTGTGGCGTATATATGTATATATATATTTCCCTATCATTGGAAAGAAAATGCATGTGATAGAATTATATATGTATGAAATATGTATATATATTTTGTTTATGCGTCTGGAGATAAAGAAAGGAAGAAAATATGTCATGGTCGCTATTATGTTTCTACTTGGTTTGTTACCGGAAAAGCGGAAAAGAAACTATTGCACTCTGCGGGTTGCTGCTGGAAGGGAACACTCTTCGGAAATCGGTAACACTCTCTTCCTTTCTCACTCTAGGTGTGAGAGTTGATGATATATAATATATATGGTTGATATATATTTGTTTGTGATACATATGTATATATAAAAAAGTAAGTTATGTTTATGTTGTTGGAAACAAAGAAAGGAATTATGGTTCATGTTTCCAACTTCATAAACCGCGTTTGTGTTAAAACATTGTTGACAAAGAACATTGATTGAGAATTAGTTTGGTATTCGTTCAATCAATTCAGCTTGGTTAGCAATTTCAAATACTTTTGTATTTGAGATGTGTGAACGAACTCATAATTCATATTGTGAGAAGAGTTCAAGAAAGTTCAACTTGGTTGAATCTGAAAGAATTCACTTTGAATTATTGGAAACAAATTGTTTTAAAATTTGTGAGTTTCAATTCGAAGCACTTGAAAGCTACAACACTTTGGTTTTTGTAACCAAGTTGTATGTGTTGTGATATTGAAGTGAATTGCAATAATGGCGAAAAGCATCCCCCGACATGATAGTTTGTTTATCATGCATTGGTTTATGTCTTCATGTTTCATATGCCATGAGGGCAAAGAAAATGAAATTAAGATGTATCCTTATAGGGATTGAATAAGCTTGTCAAGGAATGATAATCATGAAAATAGTCATCGTCAGAATTGTTTATGGTATATGTACACTATACCATTGGAAAACAATTTGACTTGGGATTATGAATGTGAAGCTATTTGTCAGAATTGTTTATTGTATATATAGACATATACCATGGGCAAACAATTTGGCATGAGAGATAATTGAGACAAGTTTATTGAACTTGAAGTCTAAATTACTTATGGTATATGTGTAAATTTATACCATTGGCAAGTAATTAGACCATTGACTTAGAATATTCATTTGAATTGCTTGTGGTATGCCAAGTTACCTTCATGAAATGTCATTGGTAAGTAATTAGATGGTATTTCCAATCCAATCTGGAAATGCAACTGAATTACTTGTAGCATCTCAAATTGCCTTGACTAATACCATTGGTAAGTAATTAGATTATATTTCTAATAATATCTGAATTGTTTGTGGTATGCTAATCTAATTAGTTCATATCATTGGTAAACAATTAGATCAATGTAGTGGTTGAAAGTTCAATAAGTAAAACCACGGAAAATAAAATATGATAGTTCGCCAAGTGGTAGAATTGTGGGGGAGTTGTTTATGATGCTAGTTGGATAACGAGTACTAGTGATAATAATTCTACAACGGGTAGATTTTTACACTAGGTGATGGAGTTGTTTCTTGACTTTGAAGAAACAAACATGTGTTACACACTCCACTATGGCAGCTGAATTCGTAACCCTTGCGGCGACTGGGAACGAGGCAGAATGGCTAAGAAAGATGTTGTTAGATATCGAGTTGTGGCCACAACCGATGTTAGCCATTTCTGTCTATTGTGATAGTGAGGCTACTTTGTCTAAAGCTTATAGCAAGATTTACAATGGTAAGTCTAGACATAATAGCCTAAGTCATGGTTACGTTAGATATTTGATTATTAATGTAATCATTTCTATTGTGTATGTAAGATCAAACAATAATTTGGCAGATCCTCTTGCCAAGGGATAGCCAAGAGGCATGATCTATGAGACATCCCAAGGGATGGGATTAAGACCTTTTTGTGATGTTAGAAGTAATGGAAACCCAATCTTTTCTTTAGGTATTCACTAATTAAAAGGTTCAATGTGGTAATAACAAGTTACTCTAACTGAGGTACTAATTTATTGTACAAGTAAACTAGTCCAAAGAAGGGTGAGTTATAGAACTCTTAAGAATGAGTTATAGAACTCTTAATGAATTCATTTGGAATGTCACCTATGTGAGCATTTAGAGTGGTCCCGCTTTAACAAAAGTAGAGGTCACTTTTGTGTATGCTCATGAAACAGGATTAGCACATGGCAATAATAGTGCTATCCTAGTTGGTGGTTGTGGTTTAGAGAAGAGACAAGTACGTGTGTGGCATCTCCGGTTATAGCTTTGGACAGGAAGGCCTTTAACAATAATTTTGGGCAGAGTATTTTGTGCTCTTTCAATGCAGGCCCGCATGTAAGCAGTGAATTAATTCCCTCCAATATCCAATTCCTTGGTGCTGGCGTGGGATGAAACCAAATGGGGATGGAAGGAATTTGGGCTTTTTCTAGAAGAAATTGGATACAGAAAGCAATGGATGGAGACATGGAGTTCGTCTCGGCCAAACTGGGTTAGTATTTCCCGCCGGTTCCGTCGCGTGAAGGGTCAGGAAGCTATTATTGTTGCCCCCAATTAGAAACCCTCGTTTGCAGCAAACTCGAGCTTCAAGCATGATGGAGGAACACCATCGTATCACAAAAAGAAAGGAGAAAACGCAACGAGCTTAATGAAGTGATGTGGGCCGACTAGTGGACATGCCCGACTGAATTCGAACTTCCGCTTCAGGGAAGTACTTAGTTGGGATTTTATTGGGTCCTTAATTTTCCTTGTCAAACTGGACTCACGTGAGAAATTCTGTGGCAGGTTAATTTAGATAGAAGAATGGTTGAATGAATCTGGGTCGGGTGGTCTTCTAATTTTGGAATGAGACCAAGTGAAACAGTGTTGCTTGGGATTTTGGGTCTCCTAAGATGGTGAAACTGGCACCTTTTGCTGGTCATGTTGTGTGGCAGTTGTGAAAGAAAGAAATGCTTAGAAACTAAGGAACATAGACGCTATATGTGTTATGCACCGCAAAATCCAACAAACTCTTGAAACGAGGTAAGAGCGGAAACCTTCTTCTTGAGTCATTAATGAATGATTAACTAGAATTAATTTCATATGAATTTCTGCATGAGATTGATAAATCTTGTGAATGCTAGAAAGCAATCTAGATGCATGTATATGTCGACATTGAGGTGTATTACCTCGATGATTAGAATATAAATGGAATACATGTTGTGGAGTAGAATGATTTTTTTTTAAAGCGTGTGTATATATATGAAGAATATATGAGAATAAAATGGGTTAATTGCCCATAGTGACAATATTGTAAGATGTAATGTTGCAGTACCAGACGAACCACTGAAGTTGCTCTGAAACATTAAAGTTTCAAGAAAGAGAGCATCAAGTTGAACCCAATCCACACAAATTAGAATGGTGCCCTTCGTTGTAATCATAAGATTGCGTGCCAATCCTCTAAGAATGACGATGTGTTTCTCTATTAAAGTTGCGAGAAACTAGGTCATATAACACGAAAGTGTAAGAACAAGTTTAACCTAGCGTAACTTGAGTAAAGAAGAGGATTTGGTAGTAATGATCACTGAGGTGATGACAGAGGTAGGCCATAATGGTAACTCTGAAGAATGATGGTTGGATATTGGCGCCTCAAGGCATGTGTGTGATAAAGGAGCTAAGCACAATCATACATTGAGGTGCATCAAAGGAGAAAAGTGTTGTTGGGTAGTGCCCTCACCACTATTGTCTATGGTTCTGGGAAAGTGGGAGTGAATCTTACATTTAGAAATTCGTTAGCTATGCTAGACGAAAGAAATGATTAAGTGAATTCTTCTGTGTGGCATGTGTGCCCTTGTGAAGAATTAGAATATCAGAGATCACACTTCCATATTCTTCTTGAACACTTGAGATAAATACGAATTTTGTATCCAAGCTAAATGACCCATAAACATGAGGTTAGAGAATGAGAATCGAAAGATCTTATTTATTTTTATGGGTAAACGTATTGAAAGGCAATAAACGATTTATTGCTCTATTGATTGCTCTAATTGTTAATCTAGTTATCTATCGTAATACTCTTTGCATGTTTATGCTTGTGGACTTGTAGTACTCCGGAGTGAGTGAAATATGATTACAAGTAGAGTATACGAATGTGTTTTAATTGGTTAAGCTATAGTAAAAAAAAAATAAGCCTATGAAAATGAAATACTCATTAGTTTGTGAAATCCATTGATGCCAATAGATTTTCATTTATATTAAGAAATAGTGGGGGTGATATCCTGCCTACTATTAGAAATAATGGAACTAGTGGGGGTGGTGAATCTGAGTATGAACTCAGAAGAAGCAAATGAACCATGAATCGCTAAAGGTTATTTGTTATGAGTTTGTTATTTACACCTTAAGAAAGATCCTACAAATATGCTAGAAGTTCAAACTTCCATAAAGGTGCAGATTTGTGGGAAGAAGCCATTATTAATGAAATGGAATCATGAGAGTCTTATAAGACTTAGAAACTTGTTGAGTTACCTTTTGGTTGTAAAGCCTTAGGTAATATATCGATAGAATCAAACAAGATTTGGCATCTTTGAGAATTACCTCCTGGCAATGAAGCCAAGGTAATAAATGGATTCTTAGAAGAAAGTTGAGACCTGATGGTTTAATTTATGAGTATAATGATCGCCTAGTAGCTAAGTCTTTAGGCGAAGAAGAAAAAATGGTATATTTCTCTTAGACATATTCACTAATATGCATAATAACATTCATGTGCATTCTGATTGCTTTTGTTATGCATCAGATGGATGTTAATGGTGATTTAGATAGAGAAACCTACATTGGACAACCTATAGGGTTGTTATTCCTGGACATGCTTATGGAGTCCATAGTTAGACAAATCATTGTAAGATTTGAAGTAGACTCTAAAACGATGGCATGAGTTATCTGGTTCTCTCTCATGGTTTTAATCGAAAGTGACAAGTGCATTTAGTACAAGTATAAGAATGACACTTGCACTATGAATAACATAGATCTTTTGTGCAAAGACTCATGAGGTCAATAATATGCAAAACCATGTTAGAGAATTTTGTTGTGAAAGATCTAGATTAAGCAAGTGTTATGCTTAGAAGATCCAAATGACTAGGACATTGAAAGAGGTTTATTTATAGATCAATTTCACTATTTAGTAAAAGATCTAGAAGAAATAAAAGTTGTACTCTTGCATAAATGTGTGAATATGCTAGTATTATTTTTGAAAGAGCACCAAAGACGGTGTTAGAAAGTAAGAGCTACTAGCATCGACAGTCTGTGAGAGGCAACTGATAAACTTGAGACCCGACATAGTGGGGGTATTTGGCAGGTTACTGATTGTCCTAGTATGAAGCATTGAAATGCTATTGAAAGGGGTCATGAGATGCCTTAACAGAACAGTAGACCTTGATACAAGTTATCAACGGTTCTTTCTGTATTGGTAAGGTATATTGATGCGTACGAGAATACCCTATAGAGAACTCCAAGGATCCAGTGGGTATGTTTTGAACATCGCTGGAAGAGTTGTGTCTTGGAAGTCTAAGAAGTAAAACGATACTGACTCAATCAACTAAGGAATCATAAATGATGAAACTAGCAATGGCTAGTAAAGAGGAAAGTTGATCGAGAGGGTCATTACTAGAGATTCCCTTATGGGAAATACCGATCCCTCTGGCAGTAGAGTCATTGTGATAGCACCGCAGCTATTGCAAAAGAAGGAAACCAGTTCTAGAACGAAAAGAGACGACAAATTCGTCGTAAGCACAATACTGTAAGAGAACTCCTAATGATAGGAGCAGTGAGGGTGGATCATATAATATCCAAACAGAATCTATCTGATCCTTTGACGAAAGGATTACCTAGAGAGAAAGTCCAGAATACCGCCAAGGGTACGAGACTTATGGCTACCGAACCACGGACTACAAGTGATGGTAACCAGACCCAATAGACTGGGGATCCCAAGAAATGGGTTCAATAGGTAATAACAAGTCATGAGTAGAATGCGAAAAGTTCATGCATAGTGAAGCATGAATCCCAAAGCAATGGAGGTTGAGTTAACAACTCTTAATGAGATTTATACCCTATGTGGGGTGGAGTACTTTACTTTGGGGGTACGTACTTCTGATAGACTCACCTATGTGAATGTGGGAGTGGGGCCTCTCCCTATTGAATTTTGGAGGCACAAAGTTGCTAGAGCGTTCACTAAACCGGGTAACGTGCATGGCCATAAACGCACGACCTATGAGAGAATATCACTCAATGAAAAGATCTGGTGTGCTACATTGTCTGAGATAGGGTTCAAGACTACAAGTGACCCTTATGAAATAAGAAGTGTAACCACTACGCTAAGGTTCAAATCTTCGTGATACCTTAGTTTATGCCCGATCTTATGGATCTATTGATGCTCAGAGATAGTTTCAAAACTATTCAAGTGTTGGATTGTTGGGAATGAATAGCTTTGAAAGCTATATTGAATTAATTATCCAATATTCTTTGTAGATACGAATATAAGATGGATAATTAATAAAAGGAATATTATGGAGATAATTAGGATAATTATCTTAATATAATGCATTTTAATTCTGGAAGTAATTATCTTCCTAATTAAAATATGGCTTATTCCCAAAGAAAGAGGAAATATTCCAGGTTTTCTACTCTTATAAATAGCAGACCCTAGACCCTCTAAAGACACCTCAGAGAGCAGAAACACGAGAGAGAGTGAGATTCAGAGAGATCCAGTTTTTGCACAAACCCGCCGAGCAAATTTAATGAGTGGCTATTTTATCATGGATGCGACCGGCTGATAGTCTGTTGTGCGCAATACGAGGCAGTGCCATGAATGTCTTAAAGAGAGTGACCTAGTCCGCGACTCAGCCAGATCGATAATCCTAGATTTTTATGTTCGATTTTTAACAGTTTTATCATAGTTCCTCACCTTTCAATTCCTCATAGTGTATCTGCAATGTAGCATCTACAATAAATAGATTAGTTTATGCACGATTTCTCTTTTACCATACCTTAACTAATTAAAACATAATAGTGTTGATGGTTTAATCACTCAATAGATAAATATAATTGAAGAGACACATGAGCTATTTGAGTCTTCCCTTTGAATTTATAACTATATATGTCTATATCTGATTATCAAGGTTGTCAACCCGTGGGCTAGCCCGGACCCGATCGAGCTAGTGGGTCAAGAGTTAATTGGTCACTCGTTTTAGTCCGGTTTAGCCCGGAAATATGGAAAGAGTCATTATATTGTACTTTCCTGATAAATCATATCAAATCTCATCTAACATATGAGTTATAACATATAATATTACACCAAAATAACATATCGTACTTAGATCCAACATATAGTGAAAATTCACACACTTATATAACATCAATATTCAAATGTTCAACTTAGGATTCCAAAGATTGAGTTAGGCGAAAAGAAAAATCGGAAAATAGACGCATTTCGCAAACCAAAGAAAAAAATGACACAATTTGACCTCCAACCCGATACCTTGTAGCGGTCGACCCAGCAGGTGCTTGCGGCCCATTTTTCTTAGAGGTGTCAATTGGGCGGGTTTGGTTGAGTCGGGTTCGGATTGGGTCTAACCGGGTTGGGTTCACTCGGGTTGCGAGTTCAATCGGGTCGGTTTCAATTTGGATCGAGTTTAATTGGGTTGCAGGTCAATTGGGTTACGAGTCAATCAGGTCACTGGTCAATTGGGTTACGGATCGGGTCGGGTTACGGGTGCATCAAATTACGGGTTTATTGGATTGCGGGTTAATTCGGGTTCGGTCAGGTCGAATTATGGGTTATTCGGGTCAACCCATTGGATCATTTACTTCTTGACAGAAAATAATGTTTTACAAACTATCAATATATGAATATAAATTGTAGGTAATGATAAAAAATTTAAGAAAATGATAATATGATAATATTTTACACATACAAATTAAATACCCATTATGTTAGTATAAAACTAAATATAAATAAAATAGTGTATATAAAAGCTTTGTTGTTGGTTATATATATATATATTTTTATTTATGGTGAAAGATTGTAACTTAACTTATTTTATTAATTTATAAAAAATTGAATCAGTAAAAATTTGAGAATGAAGTAAAAAAGGTAGACTATATGCTTATACACCTCGAAATGAATCGTCTTAATTAAATATAGTATGAACTAGATGTGTGTCTTTTCATTTCCACGAAGACTTATGAATATCATTCTGAATCATCCACTTATATATCTTCACAATTTTTTATATATTCACGGTAACATCCCATCCTAAAACTCATGGGTCGAACAACGGTTCGCTCAAATATGATATTATCATCTAGTTCGAATCGTCGATTTATTAATTTATAAAAAATAAATAAAATTAGTAAAAAGTTGAGAATGAAGTAAAAAGGGTAAACTATCCACTTATATATCTTGATAGGGATCATTGATTTCATTGATTTTGGGATTCATCTGAATGGTATCAACCTTAGTTCTTTTGGACACATTTCTTCACATAAAGAATTTACAATTCTTTGAAGTATTGATAATTTATTTTTTTTGCCTTTGTGGTACAAATTGAAGTGATACCTTTAACATTACTCTTTTGTACAAATACCTTTATGATACAAACTAAATATGTACCTATATGTTATGGTACAATAACATAAAGGTATAAATTCTCTTATGCTACAACCTGAACTTGTATTTGTACAACTTCAAGTTTGTACCATAACATATATGTACAAATTGTCTTATGGTACAACCTGAACTTATATTTTTAATCAACTTTGTACCATAAATGTACAAAATATTTTATGAAACAACCCAAACTTGTACTTTTAATGTTATAATACAACTTCAATTTGTATCTCAAAATACCAATAGTTTAAAGTATACTAGAGTCATCTTATATACACTAACACCCTAATAGGGTAACATTAATTTTGATCTCATTCTAAACTTTGGCCTCAATGAGACAATAGCCACGTGCCTAGGACTAATAGTATATGTATAAAGTATACACTAACATGTTATTAACTGATTATATTACTATAAAATATTATATGGAAGTGAACAGATAGATAATTAAACATATATAGAGTAAAAAAGGCCACAAGTATGTAAAACAATTACGCAAGAGATGAACCTGTGCATTTATCTTCTCTTTTTCAATAAGTTTTTTTTACTTCTTCTTTCTCAAGGCAACTCGCCAGAGTAGGAGAAATCAGAAAAATGATAATGCGTAATGGTATTGGTCCTGGATAATTCTTATATTTATTTCATTATTTATCATATGTTGAAAAAGGTTAAAAACCCCCCAAATTTAAGCTATAAAAATTATTGATTTCACCAAAAAAATCTTGATCGCAACCCTCCATTCATGCACTATTTTAATCATGACCATTAATTCAAGTTAAGTGTAACTAAAACACCATTTGCCATTTATATTATTATTTTTTAGTTTTTTACCTTTCCCCTTTTCTTTTCTCCGGCTTCCCGCGTCCTGCACTCCACCTCCCGCCACTTTATTTTCTCCAATAAATTGAGAACTGATAAAGCAAAACTGCAAAACTGCAAAAGCACCCTGCTGACGCTCTCTGTTTGCGTTGTGGAAAAGTACAAAACATAGTGTTCCTTCGAAACTGTAAACGGCGCTGCGCGGTGTTTGAGCCGGCACGGCACGGGCACGCTTTGGGCCCATTTATTTCGTGCCGTGCTTGGCACGACCCATCAATTTTCGTGTCGTGCCGTGCCATGCAAGTCCATTTGTTAACTTTGCTAGGCCCGACCCAGGCCCGAGCACGGTTCGAATCGTGTCGTGCCTATTCGTGCTTGTGTCATGCTCGTATTCGTGTTTAATGAAAAAGACGAAAACAAAAGAGAGAATGAAAAAGAAGTTGAAAATAGGGCGGAGGAAGATAGTATTAACGGATAATGTTTGAGAAAAGTAACAAATAAGGAGGGAAAGAAAACTGGAAATATAGCGAGTGTGATTTGACTTTGTTTAATTCTTTGTCCATTTTTACTTATCTTAGTAATTACGTATATATCTTTATGACATTTCTAACAACAACAAATAATTATTTTTCTACTTGTGTTTTGTAATATTTGAATCTATAATTCTTTTTATATTTATTTTCTATCGAATAAATATTATTTTTGTGCCATGTTAGTTCTTATACTCAATAAAGTCTCAAAAATATTAGGCCCGACACGGCCCACTTATATACCGTGCCGTGCCCGTGCCCATGAAATTTAGACCCGACACGTCCCATAAATTATTCGTGCTCGTGCCAGGCTGACCCATTTATTTTGTTGCCCGTGCTCGTGCCGTGTTCTAACTGTGCCGTGCCGTGCTAGCCCGTGAGCGGAACGGCCCGGTGCCCACGTACATTCACAACTTTTACCTTTCTTCTTTGTTTTGGTAAAGCTTTGCGGCGTATATTCTCTTTCTCCGTCGACGTGATAGAAACACAGAACTACATAAGAGAGTTTCAAGCTGGTTCGTCTCTCCAACCAGTCTTCTTGTTTTTTTATATTTTGTACGTTCACTATATTTCACCTTCCCGCCGACGTAGCTTACTCCGCACTTGGCAGTCACTTGTGTATTTTTTTCAAGATATTTATTATTCAGAAATAATATTTATTATTTATTCATTCGGTACTACTCACTGGCTTCCATTTAAAAATAGTCTCGCTCCTCAAAAGGATTGAAGGAATCCAAAACAGAATGGCCCAAGGCTTCTGTCCCGGTTTGGCCAAGTTGCAAACAAAGCTGGAAACAGAGCTGGACAGAATCTTAGAGCAGGAGGAATTCCTCTGGTTTCAGCGGGCCAGAGAAAAATGGGTTCAAATGGGAGAGCGGAACACGGCGTATTTTCATCAACAAACGAATATCAGGCGAAGGAATAACAAAATCTTAAGCCTCAAAGACCTGGAAGGAAATTGGATTTCTGACCCGCTTCAACTTGCTGACATGGTTTTTGAGTTTTTTGTCGCCCTTTATTCGCAGGATGAACAGGAGTATTTTGATAGGATGCCGAAAGGAGCCTTCCCCAGAATAGCACAAGAGGATCTCCTTCAGCTGCTGCGCCCTTTTAACGGTGCTGACATCCATCAGGCAGTGCAAGAGATGAAACCCCTGCAGGCTCCTGGCCCGGATGGTTTTCACGCCATTTTCTACCAGCACAGCTGGAGACAGGTGGGTAGGGCTCTGATCGACATGGCCATCAATTTTTTCTCCACAGGCACGCTTCCGTCGAAGGTGATGGACTCCACAGTTGTGCTAATTCCCAAAGTTGAACATCCGGAGGTGGTGACCCAGCTTCGCCCGATATCACTGAACAACGTGTGCCTCAAGGCCGTTACGAAAGCGATCACCAATCGCCTGAAGCCAATCATGAGGAAACTGGTCTCACCGAGACAGAGCAGCTTCATCCCTGGAAGGCAGACCACAGACAATATTATTGTGCTCCAGGAGGTGCTCCACTCTTTTAGGAAGAAGAAAGGTAAAGGGGGGGGGGGGTGCTCAAGATCGATCTGGAGAAAGCTTACGACAGACTGCGATGGGACTTTCTCAGAGACACACTCATCGAAGTAGGCCTACCTAGCTCTTGGGTGAAATGCATCATGTTCTGCGTTGAGACGAATAACATGCGCTTGTTATGGAATGGAGAGCTTTCCTCGCCGATTGTCCCCACCCGCGGAGTCAGACAGGGAGACCCTCTTTCCCCGTATCTCTTTGTGCTGTGCATGGAGCGTTTATCCCACAGGATTGATCAGGCTGTTCGGGATAGCCACTGGAAACCCATCCGTCTATCTCCGAATGGCCCTGCTCTCACTCACTTATTTTTTGCGGATGATTTGGTGCTTTTTGCAGGTGCTGAGAGTTCACAGATAAGAGTCATAAAGGAGTGTCTGGATGACTTCTGCCATAGCTCGGGACAGAGGGTAAATTTTGCCAAGTCAGCCATGTTTGTCTTTGCTAATATTCCTCGCCGGCAAGCAAGGAAGCTCAGCAGGAGGGCCGCTATCCCGCTCACGGTGGATCTTGGGAGATATCTAGGGGTCAGAGCAATCAACGGACGGGTGACGAGGGCGCGATATCAAGACCTGCTGCTTCGAATTCAGAGTAAACTAGCCCCTTGGAAAGCAAAGAAGCTTTCGCTGGCGGCTCGCATCACGGTTGTTAAGTCCATATCCTCATCTATTCCTATTTACCCTATGCAAACAGAATTCCTTCCTATTAGTGTTTGCAACAGGTTGGACCGGATAAATAGGGATTTCATATGGGGCGACACTGACGAGAGCAGGAAAATGCACCTGGTAGGATGGAACAAACTCCTCGAACCAAAAAACAACGGAGGGCTTGGAATTAGGCCATCCAGGCAAGTCAACTTGGCGATGCTAGCAAAAGGAGGATGGCGCCTGATTCAAGACAAAGACACCCTTTGGTGCCAAGTGATGCGGAGCAAATATGGGAAGCAAAGAGACCTTTTGGAAATGTTGCGTCCAGTTCAGGGAAGTTCCTTCACCTGGGCTAGTATGGCCAAAGCTTCCGATCTACTCCATAAAGGAGCTGCTTGGAATATCCACCGAGGGAACCATGTTCGTTTTTGGACTGACATCTGGATTATGCAGGTGCCTCTAATGGAGATGGCAATTGGCGAAGTCCCTCAAGAAGACCGGGAGGCAACAGTGGCGAATTACGTGGATGCTGAAGGAAGATGGCTCACTCACAAGTTCAACAACCTGCTGCCGCAAGAAATCCAGGAGCAAATCACTGCCTATGCTGTGGACCCGCTGGGGGCCGACGAAGACTCGCTGTTCTGGAAGCCCTCCGCCGACGGGCACTTCTCGTGCAAGACTGCCTTTCAACTCGCGAGACCAGCTCCCGCTGCTGAAGACAAAAGTTTTTGGAAGAAGCTTTGGACGCTGCAAACCCCAGAGCGAGTGCGATGCTTCGCCTGGCTGGTGGCTTTGGGAAGGATCTCCACTAATGAGATCCGGCATGCTAGAAAAATCACTCAATCAGCGGCGTGTTTCAGGTGCCCGAACCACGCGGAGACAGCGCTGCACGTGCTCAGAGATTGTCCTCCTGCAGCCTTCTTCTGGGCGAGAACAGTGCCTGTTGCTGATCAGCACCTCTTCTTTAGTCTTCCGGAGAAA